GGCAGAGGCGGATAGAGGGCAGAGGCGGGGAGAGGGCAGAGGCGGGGAGAGGGCAGAGGCGGGGAGAGGGCAGAGGCGGGGAGAGGGCAGAGGCGGGGAGAGGGCAGAGGCGGGGAGAGGGCAGAGGCGGGGAGAGGGCAGAGGCGGGGGAGAGGGCAGAGGCGGGGAGAGGGCAGAGGCGGGGAGAGGGCAGAGGCGGGGAGAGGGCAGAGGCGGGGAGAGGGCAGAGGCGGGGGAGAGGGCAGAGGCGGGGAGAGGGCAGAGGCGGGGAGAGGGCAGAGGCGGGGAGAGGGCAGAGGCGGGGAGAGGGCAGAGGCGGGGAGAGGGCAGAGGCGGGGAGAGGGCAGAGGCGGGGAGAGGGCAGAGGCGGGGAGAGGGCAGAGGCGGGGAGAGGGCAGAGGCGGGGGAGGAGGGCAGAGGCGGGGAGAGGGCAGAGGGGGGAGAGGGCAGAGGCGGGGAGAGGGCAGAGGGGGAGAGAGCAGAGGCGGAGAGAGCAGAGGCGGAGAGAGCAGTATGCGTTGAGATGACCGGTCTTTTCTGGTTGTATTCACTATGGTTCCCATCATGAGCGTAATGCGGCGCGTTCTACCATTTTTTCCTTCACGCGAAACCTGCAACTGACTGCGCTGGTGTACCGGATCCATTTGAATACATGGAAAATGCTTCTAAACGCAAACGCTTATAAACGCGGTTAGCCACGTTTACAAGCGTTTGGCATTTGCAACGCTGATAAAATCTACTCCGGAGCACAAGTTTAGTGCGTTCAAAAAAATGACTGTAAACTCCACAGCCTGTAAATGACTGTAAAAGGACGATGTGTATGGACAGGAGAACATTAGGGGAGAGTTCAGGGGCTGCTGAAAAAAAATGCAGAAAAGCTCCTGAACGTCAGTTTATCAGTCGCAGTGAACATGAACCCTAAAACGTGGTGCGGTTCTGCCGCGCTGCAAATCACGTCACATGAAACTTAATATAAAAAGAAAAAAGCAAAAGAATGCTGAAACTCCTGCGATGGACGATGGGCTCCACAATGTCAGCGTCCCCACAGAGTGCTTTTCTAGGAATGCAAGCTTTGCTGCCCTCAACGGACACGGGAAATCCAAAAGGAACTCTGAGCAAAGAAACAAACCGAGGGGCGCCCGGGTCTAGTAATCGCCTTCTAAAAATTTGATTTATTGAACAAAAAGTAGTATACTCACAAAGTCCCATCAGGAGGGAGGGCTGCTGGAGACAGTATGCGACCCCCCACTAAGCCAATCAAAGGCACATCACAAGAAAGACAGCGTGGTCCAATCTCCCTAGATAGTAGCCATTAGGGGCCTGTAGACCTCCAAATGGCTGACGCGCAACACGCCCTGCCTCCAGGCATGCAACACGCCCTGCCTCCAGGCTTGTCAACCATTTGGAGGTCTACGGGCCCTAATGGCTACCATCTAGGGAGATTGGACCACGCTGCCTTTCTTGTGATGTGCCTTTGATTTTATTTCTTTGTGAGAATACTATGTTTATTCAATTAATGTCATTTTTAGAAGGTAAAGCACTAGGCCCAGGCACCCTCGGTTTGTTTCTTTACTCACAGTCACATGAAACTTGCCGCGGGCGCTGACAACCCACGCTGTGCTTGTAACAGAACCGACCCCAGACTGCACTTGGGTACTTCCGTTAGACTACCGCTTCCCCCGTCCGAACACCGACCACGGACACCACCGCTGACCATACAAGACCAGACGACACCAGGCTTGAAGTAATCCAGAAGGTAGACTAGTTTATTTTAACACAGACACAAGATATATACACTCAGGGGACAACCCCCCCTCCTGCATAATGGCACAGGGCGGGGCAAACCCCCCCCCTGCATAATGACACAGGGCGGGGCAACCCCCCCCCCCCCCTGCATAATAACATAGGGCGGGGCAATCTACATTTAGTAACAAGAGACACACAGGTATTCAAAGTTCACACCAGCAGACAGTCCCATCAGGAAGGAGGGCTGCTGGAGACACCCCCCACTAAGCCAATACACAAACATCCCATAATAGTTTGCTCCCATGCAAGACATACAATAGAACAATGGGATACAGCCACATGGCATTAAACAATCAACAACCCCCACCCCTCCTAGACATGCCTACACAATATTAGGACAGATCACCCTGTACCCCTAACAGGCACAGGGTGACTTACACATAAGATGGATATGGGGAGCTGAGACAGGGGTCTCCCCACCTCTCCAAAGTGAGCTGTGTTCCATGGGCCCCCCACCCAAAGTGACTCCCGTCAGCTTTTTAGCTGGCTCCTAGAATCAAAGCCCTTCTATAGGATGCAATAGTTCCGCAGAGCTCACAGAATCACATTTTTAGAGCCGCGCCCACCCAACCCCCAATATATTACCTTGTGCCGATGATGGCTGACTGGAACGCGATGCCAACTGAGCTTCGAAATTGGTGAGCTGCTGCCTCAACGTAGCCGCTTCTTTGTTTGAGTTCTTCAGAAGCTCCTT